TGTCTCAAAACACCCACTTGGTCAAACCTTCTTACAGTTAGGACCACAGTCAAAATCCCCTCTCGATTCCCCCAATGAACGAGAGGTCCACAAATTGAGCGATCAAACCTTCCTACAGTTAGGATTGTCTCAAAACACCCACTTGGTCAAACCTTCTTACAGTTAGGACCACAGTCAAAATCCCCTCTCGATTCCCCCAATGAACGAGAGGTCCACAAATTGAGCGATCAAACCTTCCTACAGTTAGGATTGTCTCAAAACACCCACTTGGTCAAACCTTCTTACAGTTAGGACCACAGTCAAAATCCCCTCTCGATTCCCCCAATGAACGAGAGGTCCACAAATTGAGCGATCAAACCTTCCTACAGTTAGGATTGTCTCAAAACACCCACTTGGTCAAACCTTCTTACAGTTAGGACCACAGTCAAAATCCCCTCTCGATTCCCCCAATGAACGAGAGGTCCACAAATTGAGCGATCAAACCTTCCTACAGTTAGGATTGTCTCAAAACACCCACTTGGTCAAACCTTCTTACAGTTAGGACCACAGTCAAAATCCCCTCTCGATTCCCCCAATGAACGAGAGGTCCACAAATTGAGCGATCAAACCTTCCTACAGTTAGGATTGTCTCAAAACACCCACTTGGTCAAACCTTCTTACAGTTAGGACCACAGTCAAAATCCCCTCTCGATTCCCCCAATGAACGAGAGGTCCACAAATTGAGCGATCAAACCTTCCTACAGTTAGGATTGTCTCAAAACACCCACTTGGTCAAACCTTCTTACAGTTAGGACCACAGTCAAAATCCCCTCTCGATTCCCCCAATGAACGAGAGGTCCACAAATTGAGCGATCAAACCTTCCTACAGTTAGGATTGTCTCAAAACACCCACTTGGTCAAACCTTCTTGCCAAGGCCGAGCCACCCCTTGGGGTGGCCGAGCCACCTCAGGGTGGCTCGGCATGAGCCGAGCCACCTTGAGGTGGCCGGCCACCTTGAGCTGGCCACACGTGCACACGGGCACGGGCACAGTAACGAGAGCCTATAAATAGGCCAATGGGTTCTTCATTTCAAAAGGTTGGAAATTTTGGAGAGAGGCGAAGCCCTGCTGGATTGGAGACTCGGAACTTAAAAAAGATTGAAACTTTGGGACTTCGGGGACTCACTCCTTCAGATCTGGTGCTCGGCGATCATCAACGTCAAATAAGGCAGGTGTTCGAGAGGATCAGATCTCAGATCTACGCAGGCATACTCCGGATCTAAGCTTGGTCTTAGATCCCGAGACTTGGACGATTGTTTCCTTGGTGAAACAATCCTCCCCGGCTATTATTTCCTTGGTGAAATAATACCCGTCGTACTGCGTAGATCCGACCGGATCTAGATCTCGCGGTGGTCCACGGCAAACAACCCCGGCGCAGGCAAAGAACCCACCAAGCGAGCGACCGCAAAACAGGAGCTCGCGATTCGTTCGACACAAAAGGAGAAAAGTTGTAATCTTTGTTTATTTTTATTTGATTTTCGTTGTAACCGGATCTTATAAAAAGACCGGATCTTTTGTAACTCAAAAAGTTGTAACTCAAGATGACAATGGAATCAATAGCAAAGAAAGACACGAATTTTCCAGCGAACATTCATAGGTTTAGTCTGGCTCCAATATTCGTTTTAGGTTCGGAAATTAGGGTCATGACACACAACCCCACCCCCCTTCCCCAAACATACACCAAAAAATGGAAAAAAAATTACATGGTCGTTGGATGTGATTATTTAACCTGACACAAATTGCTCGCATAACAACATTGAACCTTGGTTGTTCTGATACCATTTTAAATGACCTTGCACTTACACAAAAACTCTATATTTGTGGAAAAAGTTGTAATTTTATACTCTAACAGTTCATAAGTGAATTTACGAGAAATTTTATCGTTCCTTAATTCCACCCCTTTTTAGCCAAAAAACCCAGGTTTCAAGATATATAGAGGGCATTTGGGAGTGCATTATTTTTTTGAAGCTTATAAGCTAAATTGACTTTTGGTGGATTTGACCTTTATAATAAAATCTAATACTATTATAAAAGTGGATTGGTATGTTAAAACATTTTCTCCCAAAGTACCCTCCAAAATACATGCATACATGAATAACACATACATACATCCTCCAAAACACATGCATACATACATAATAAAACACATATATACACGAATATACATGCATACTTAAATAAGAACAATTATTATTTTTTATAGTTATAATATTAATAATTTTCTTAATTAAATTCCTTTATGGTCTGCTTCTCATGCATTTAGGAATTAAAAACACCTTCTCTCTCTTGAAATTATACTAGAATGAATTAGTATAAAATATGCAATTCACCCTTCTCTTTTTTACCCATGGAGTCAAAATAACCATTTTCTAGCTATACTCTTTTCCGTTGAGATTTTTGAGCTCCTCCTCATTTCTCCACTCACAGCCAATTTGGTAGTTTTCCATTTCTCTAAAATCAATTTATGGAAAAATATAATTTTATGATATAAATTAATTATTGATATTTTTAATGGTTTGGTTGAATTTTATTTCTAGCCAGAAGCATAGACAACATGTGGTTGTGCTAGCTGAGGATGCTTCCAAGCATAAATACGAATATGAAAGAAAAGTTGACATGATGCTCTTTTTTGCACGACAATATGACCTACAACAACTAGACTTGGTTTTATAAATACTAATCTTAGTTTGTCTTATTCATGTTTTCATGCCTTTTTCTATTTTGTTTTTTATTTGTTTGATCTTGATAAGTGTTATAACCATCTCTCAAAAAAATGTAAAAATAAAATTTTTACGTCTTGGATTTGTCTATACTTGCCTTGATATTCACCAAGTATTAACCATTATGCCTCAAAAAGAATGTATATTGTCAATTATTATATATAAGAAGGAGCGTTACATGATTATCTTTGGCATCATTAATTTTCTAAAAAAATAGTAATATTTCTTGCTTTGCCAAGATGAATTCTTCATGGACCTGTGTATTGGTCATAATAAAGATTTTTTTTTATCATGAGAGAGGATGATGAGCCTATAAGACAAACAACCATGATTTAGAATAAAGTTGGACATACAATAATGGAATGTTATTGTGAAGGAATTAGCAATTAATGTATTTGTTTCAAAATTTTAGTTCAAAAGCAGAATATTTCATCCTGCTGGTTGAGAACTTGCATATGCAGATATCTTGCTAATTATTTGGAAGAGAGTTCCGGTTTGAGTATTTATAATGAATAACTTCTAAAAAATAGTTTATTTTTATTCTTGATCTTCTACATATGTTAAAATATTAAGCGTAATTTTTTGAAGAATATAAATTATCTTTTACTTTGACGACATATCTTCTACACATGCATATTGGTCTTAGCAAAGATCTTTTATTATGAGGGAGGATGATGAGCCTATGAGATAGGAGCCAAGGTTTAGAATAAAGTTGGACATACAATAATGGAAGATTATTGTGAAGGAACTAGCAACTAATATATCTATGTCAAAAAAATTTACTTTGAGAACAAAATATTTCATCAAGATGGTTGAGAACTTGCATAGGCAGATATCTTGCGAATTATTTGGAAGAGAGTTCTCATTTTCAACATTTGTAATAAATCAATGTCCAAAAGAGAGTTCATTTCATTCTTGTTCTTCTACACAAGTCTAAATATTAAGGAATATTTTTTGAAAGAATATAAATTATCTTTTACTTTTACCATATATATTCACAAAACTCTATCTTGGTAATTTTGAACAAAGTTTGTAAAATCGAATTGATATTTTTTGGCCATATAAAGATAAAATTTTATTATGAAAATAAAAAAGAAAAAAATAAATATGTCTACGTGCAACGAACGTGCATTGTACTAGTTTCATAAAAATCGCTTGAATAGAATCGTCATTTACTTAGTGAAACATAACTTATTTAGGTGAGCATATAAGCTAAATTTTTGAAAGCCGGGGAAATCTAACTTTTTAAAATTGGGCTTAAAAGCTAGCTTATTTAGGATGTTACTAAAAACATAGATATAAAACGGCTAGCTAATAAGTTGCTTTGACAAAAAAAAGGCTCCCCAAAATACTCCCATAGCCATTAGATCTCCTCACCATTAATGCTCTAGAAGGACTTCGAGAGGTGTAGTATTGTCGCAACCAGGATAGAACCTACAAGGAAAGACACAAACTAGGAAAGCACAAAAGAGCAGCATTAATTCAAGTCCAAGTTGGACCGGAATTGCTTGCATAATGGCATGCATACATTACCATTTCCTCGTTTCAATGATCAACATCTGCATGATGCTGCACATAGGTATCCTTAGTGGCCACGTAACTTGGAACCGTTCATGGTATCCTCTATGTTTGAACTCAGAGTCAAAGTTGCCCCTAACGTGTACTTTGACATTTCTAAGAAGCTTTTAACCTAACATTTTAGCCCATTAAGCCCTCGTAGTCATAGTTTTGAGTCTATTATGTCCCCATGATGCTTTTCCACCCTAAACATAGCCAAAAATATTATTCTGTTGATGATAAAGTGGGAATATTCTTGGTGGAAAACCACCATGGGAACTCAATAGATTACAAGTAATAACTATTAAAAGCTTAACAAGTTAAAATATTTAGTTAAAGCTTCTTAGAAATGTGTGGTAAACTTTGGGGGCTGATCAGTTTTCGAGCTCCTCTAAGTTTCTATCCTTTCCACGGTGAGTAATGATCTTAGATCCTAGACCCATAAGACATAGGTCCTTGCGAGAAATAAACTGGCAACAAATAATCTAGGAGTAGTAATTCTATTATTTCTTACTCCACTATTGCTACGGCACGTGACATTGAGAGTCATGATGATATTACTAAGGAACCGTCTTTAGAAGCAGCATTAATTCAAGTCCAAGTTGGACCGGAATTGCTTGCGTAATGGTATACATCACCATTTCCTCATTTCCTACCCATCCTCCTCCATCTACATATAACGAAAGAGATTACTCTATACACACTATCCAAGCATTTTATCCTCAAAATGTCCATCCAAATACCATCTAATGTTTCTAATACAAAGCCTCACTTTGTACTGGTTCCTTTCATGGTACAAGGTCGCATGATCCCCATGGTCGACATGGCTCGACTTCTCGCTAGCCATGGCGCCATCGTCACCCTCATCACCACCCGACATGGCTCGACTTCTCGCTAGCCATGGCGCCATCGTCACCCTCATCACCACCCCTGCCAATGCAGCCCGCATAGGCCTCACCATCGACAAGGTCAAGCAATCCGGCTTACCTGTCAATTTTGTGTGCCTCAGGTTTCCAAGCATGGAAGTTGGATTGCCTGATGGTTCAGAAAACATCGATATGCTTTCCTCTCTCGACCAAGTGAAGAACTTCATCGATGCAGTCTGTATGCTTCGTGATCCTCTCATTCTCCACCTTCGAGCTCATAAGCCTCCTCCTACCTGCATCATCTCTGACAGCAATCACTACTGGACTCGAGATGTGGCTGAAGAGTTTAAGATACCAAGACTCTTGTTCAACGGGTTTGGATGTTTCTCTCTCCTTTGTATTCATAAGGTGCGAGAGCACAAGATTGAGGAGAAGATAGTCGATGAGAATGAACCTTTTGTTGTGCCAGGCTTGCAGACTATGGTAGAAATAACAAAGGCTCAAATGCCAGGCAACTTCTCGATGCCAGGCATGGATAAGCATCGTGAAGAAATTATAGCGAACGAGATGGCTTCCAGTTCTGATGGTGTTGTGGTCAACAGTTTTGATGATTTGGAGACAATATATTGTGAGAAGTACCAAAATGCTATAGGGAAGAAAGTTTGGACTATTGGACCGTTATCGCTGTCCAATGGAGATTTTGGCGATATAGCTGCTAGAGGGAACAAAGCCTCAATAGATGCAGACCGTTGCTTGAGTTGGCTTGACTCCATGAAACCAAGCTCTGTAGTTTATGTGAACTTTGGGAGTCTCGCTCATACCATTCCTTTGCAACTTATTGAGATAGGATTAGGCTTGGAGGCTTCGTATTGTCCATTCATCTGGGTGATCAAAGATGGAGAAAGGACTTCGGAGGTGGAGGAATGGCTCTCTGAATTTGAAAAAAGGACGAGGGATCGAGGACTTATTATCAGAGGATGGGCCCCACAAGTACTGATTCTATCACATCCAGCTGTTGGAGGATTCATGACGCATTGTGGATGGAATTCGACGTTAGAGTCTGTATCCGCTGGTGTGCCTATGATAACATGGCCTCACTTTGCTGAACAATTTCTTAACGAGAAATTGATTGTGGAAGTACTAAGAATTGGTGTACCTGTGGGGGTAAAATCTCCGACTGTATTGGGCGTGACTCCTAGTGATGTCTCAGTGAAGAAGAAGTGTGTAGAGAAAGCAGTACGAAGTTTGCTCGAAGGTGAAGAAGCTAAAGACAGGAGAAAGAGGGCTAAGGAGATAGCGGAAAAAGCTCGAAAGACTGTGAAGGAAGGAGGGTCTTCTTATGAGAACTTAACACAGTTGGTTCAGGTTATGAATGCAAGAACTGCATAGAGCAGAAGAATATTTAGTAGAGATAATGTCTTTTTGAATGGTTTGCATTCATACGTTTTGCGATTCTGTATCTTTGAATTTAAGAGGTGATTTACTAATATGATCCGTTCTTATTGAATTTGGCGTAAATGTGCTACATAATTCATAAGATTTTAGATTTCTATGTATCATTTGTGTCAATTTACATGCTCTACTTAGCAATAATGTTATGCGTTATCATTAATTTCAGTTCTTTTTACTATGAGCAGATTAATTTTAGAACCTTTAATTTGTATTATATCCCGTCTGCTCTTTCTAACTAAAATTTGCATTATGCATATTACGTCTTCACGTTAGAAAGGTAACCTTCCTCAGTCTAGACTGTGCATCATATCGGAACTGACCTCATGTGAGCGGTCGGTTTGAGCCACAAACAGGGGGGAGGGGCAAAAATACCAATATTGAGCCCCTGCATCATAGGGCTCAGGACGACCGCTCGCATGCGGTCGGTTCTAATACGGCGCGTACTCCTCAGCCTCTAGTTAGTTTTTTTTCTCTCACAACATCAATTAAATCTTTTTCTCATGCGGTCGGTTCTAATACGGCGCGTACTCCATTGTTTTTGGTATTCAAGTTTGCATGCACTTTTATGAACTTGATGTTCTGTCCAACTCAATACATGAATGGAATAATGTATTTTGCATGTCATATGTTATGTTTAATTAGAATCTGACAGTAGCACGCCTTCATTCGTTCATCATCACAATCATACCATTAAAATGTTGACTCTTAAGTTTACGAACTTAGAACTCTCTCAAATGAAGACAAATAACTCACTTATATTTCTTCAAATTTCTTTCTTCATATCAAACAATGATTACAATAGCCATTTATATAGGCTTCAAAACAAAAACGTCTAGGCATACCAATAGTCACAAATTAAACTCCTATTTTAATGCCATAAAGATAAATATCATCAATGATTAAGTTACACTTATTTTTCCATAACCTATGTCTCTTCCCCGTCTAAACTTATGACCCTTGCACTTCTAAAACTCATGCTATTAACCTTATTTATTCTAACATTTTAATTTGATATTCCAACACGCCCCTTCAAATCAAAATGTCTTTATGCCAAGCATGTCTCTTAGCCTCATGAGAGTTTCACCTGATAATGGCTTGGTGAATATGTCTACTACTTGTTCAGTGGTGTGACAATGCTTCAGTTCAATGGTTTTCTGCTTTACATGGTCTCTACGAAAATAAAACCGTGTATCTATGTATTTTCTCCTCCCATGATGTACTGGGTTCTTTGCGAGCTGGATGGCTGATTTGTTATCCACAAAAATTACGGTCGAGTCTTCTTGTGGATGATCCAACTCCTTTAATATGTTTCGCAACCAAATTGCTTCACATACTGTAGATGCAGCCGCCACATACTCTGTTTCACATGAAGATAAAGCTACAACTCCTTGCTTCTTTGAGGTCCATGAAAATGCAGTTGACTCAAGATAGAAGACATAACCTGTGGTGCTTTTCCTCTCATCTTGATCACCTCCCCAGTCACTATCTGAGTATCCTCTTCGCAGCTAGCCAATGAGACTCATTCGGTGTCTCCGTATAATGACTCACAAGTCCGAGTCCATAAGTAATATCGGGCATTGTGATCGTCAAGTATCTCAGGCTGCCAACTAGACTTTTGAAAAGAGTTGAATCCATGAAACGTCCGTCTCCTTCTCTTGAAAGCTTCATTTTGATGGCTACTGGGGTGTTCACAGGGTTGCATTCATTCATCTTGAACTTCTCTAAGATCTCCTTCATGTACTTCTTCTGGGATATAAAAATTCCCTCTTGTTGCTGCTTCACTTCAATGCCAAGAAAATAGGATATCAATCCATTGTCCGTCATCTCAAATTCATTGAACATTGCCGCCTTGAATTCAGCAAGCATCTCGGTACTGCTTCCTGTGTACAATAAATCATCAACATAAAGACAAATCATTAGAAATTCGGCTTTATGGTTCCTCTTCATGTAGATGGCATGTTCATAGGGACATTTAATGAAGCCGTTTTGATGAAGATAGCCATCAATTCGGGCGTTCCACGCCCGTGGTGCCTGCTTTAAGCCATACAAGGCTTTCTTCAAATGGTACACTTTGTCTTCTTGCCTTTTCACAAGAAAGCTTTCTGGTTGTTGCACGTACACCTCTTCCTCAAGAACGCCATTGAGGAATGCTGACTTGACATCCAAATGATATATATTCCACCTGTGATGAGCTGCAAGTGAAACTAATAGTCTCACCGTATCCAGTCGAGCAACCGGAGCAAAAACTTCTTCATAATCGATGTCGTACTTTTGTTTATAACCTTTCGCTACAAGCCTCGTCTTGTACCGATAAACTTCACCATTTGCTGTGCGCTTGATCTTGTACACCCACTTGACCCCTATTACCTTGTGATTTTGTAGAAGAGTTGTCAACTCCCAAGTGTCATTCTTTTGGATGGCATGGATCTCCTCCTCCATTGCTGTTCGCCAACAATCTTCTTTTACGGCTTCTTGAAAGGTGAGAGGTTCATGATCAGCATATAAGCAGAAGAGATTTGACTCTTCGTCTTCTTCTATCTACTCATAGATCTCCCTGAGGCTTCTCATTTTGATGGGACCTCGTTGCACGGTAGATCTGCTGCTACTACCTTCCCCTGAAGATGGAGAACCTCTTGCAGGAGAGGGTGTAGAGTGTGAAGGAGATGGTGGTGTAGCTAGTGATGGTTCCTCATGTAGAGACTCATCAGGTTCATTCACCACAGGTTGATCTTCATTGCTCCAGTTCTATGCTTCTTCTTCATTAAAGACAACGTCTCTACTAACAACTAGTTTCTTGATTAGTGGATTGTAGAGCTTGTATGCCTTCGACCCCTCACTATATCCGATGAAATATATTTTTCACCACGATTGTCAAGCTTCTTCCTTTTGACTTCGGGTACTTGAGCATATGCAACACAACCAAAAATTCATAGGTGTGCCACACTAGGCGTGTAACCGCTTCATGCCTCTTGAGGTGTCTTATTCTTCACTATCTTTGTAGGGCATCGGTTGAGCAAATAAGCTGAGCACGCCACGGCTTCTGCCCAGAACTGCTTTGGCAATCCCTTTTCGTTGAGCATGGTTCTTGTCATGTCGAGGATGGTCCGGTTTTTTTTTCTGTAATGCCATTTTGTTGTAGTGTGTAGGCAGTAGTAAACTATCTCTTTATACCTTGCTCCCTGCAATATTCTTGAAACAGATTTGAGGTGTACTCACCACCTCGGTCAGATCGAAGAATTTTTAGCTTGTGTCCGCTCTCTGCTTCAACTAAAACTTTAAAATGCTTGAATGTAGTAAAGGCAGCAGATTTTTCTTTAAGAATGTACACCCATAACTTTCTACTGAAGTCATCAATGAAGGTTATAAAATATTTATTACCTCCCAAAGAGACGGGATCGATCAGTCCGCAGATGTCGGTGTGAACAAGTTGCAATGGTGCTATTGCTCTCCATGATTTTCCACTGGGAAAAGGAAGTTGTGGTTGCTTGCCAATTACACAACCTTCACAAATATGATTCGGTGGATCAATTGTTGGTAGACCTTGTACCATGCCAGCTGTAGACAGTAACTTCAAACCGCTAAAGTTTAGATGACCAAAGCGAAGATGCCACCTCCATGACTCATTCTCCATGAGTCCTTGAAAACACTTGTCGACTTTCGTGTTTAGATGCAAGGGAAACATGCGGTTCCTTGTCATCATAACACAAGCTATGAGGCCTCCATTTGTATTTTTCAACCAAAGATGGTTGTTCTTGTAGGCGTCTAAAATTGCCTATGAGAGCCCGCACGTCAGCTCACGCGCGTCGGTCAACACGCGCGCGTTAATCAGTTCATGCGCGTCGGTCAACACGCGCACATCAATCAGTTCGTGCACGTCGGTCAATGCACTCGCGTCAACCAGCTCGCGCATGTCAGTCAACACGCGCGCGTCAATCAGCTCGTACGCGATGGTCAACATGTGCGCGTCAATCAGTTCGTGCGTGTCAGTCAACACGCGCACGTCAATCAGCTCACGCGCATCGGTTAACACGCGCGCGTCAACCTGTTACACCCTAGAGGGGGATGATTAGGGTCTTATGCTAATCTAATCCGATTTTATGCTAATTAAAACTAATAACAAGTTATCCTAGCAAGTGTGAAATACAACAAGATACATAAGCTAGGATAGGCAATATGAACTAATGAATATATCCTAGCAATGAGATATTACAAATATATGAGCAAGGATATATAAACAACACAAGGGTAAATAATGTAAACAAAGAAATGGACAAACTAGCTAATGAGACAATGGCGATATGAGCAATGAGCACAAATATAAATGAACGCCAAAGCACACACAAACACAATCAAATGATCACGGAGTTCGGACCTTCCATCCTACGTCTTCTCTCCCCACTCCCGGGGAGAAATTCACTATCATAACCGGGTTTTCTACGCTTACCCGAACAACGTCTACACATCACACTATGGTTTTCTAGTTTATCGAAAACTCTACAATCAACACTCTTGCAATCCCACTCTACACCCTCTCAAGTGTTGGAACTAGACGTGTCTCCCTCAAGTGCTCGGATATAACCTCTCCCTAGGTTCGTCAACTGACGCCACTCCTCTTGGGACGATCCCCGACTCTCGCCACACACTTCTCTCGGTGTACAAGTGTATTACAAAGTGAATCTCACAATATACATAATTATAATAAATGATTGTTCTCTAATATGGATGAGAACACAATGAAAGCTCACACTCAATTGTTATAACTCTCATCAACCCAAATATACAATGTATGCAAATACAATAAGATCAAGTGGGTGTGTGTAAACAATGAGTAAAATCAAATCAACTAAACTCAATTGAAAATACTAGCTTAATGAAAATGATAAACAACAAAGAATTAATACAAAGCTAGTATTGAGTTTAGAAATTCTTCTCTGAAAAACAAGATGGAGAGATGGATTAAAATGAAACCCAATGAATGTAGATGATCTCCTCCATTTTTGTAAAATTTCTTCACAAACAAAACTCTTTTAAACAAACACTAAACAAACTTAAACCCTTGTTAAACTCTTGTTTAAAAACTTCTTGGATGATTTTGGTAGTTGTG